GATCCACAGACGGAGAGGCCGCGGCCATAGGCTGGGCCGGGGCGTGGTCTGTCTTCTCAGCTCGTTTCTTGTCCAAGCCAATGCGGGCATCAGGGGCTCCGCCGTTGAGTTGGTTGCGGAGGTCCGTCGTGAGGTTGATGGCCTCCAAGAAGACGTCCTCTTCGCCGACCTGGTCGGCCGTGGCATCCTCATCGTGCTCCCTGGCCTCTTGGTCCTCAGGGATGGCCTTGCTGACGAGGTTGCGGATTGATTTAGTTCTTCCCATGATCAGTGGTTAGCTGTGCTTGGTAGCGACGAAGGGTGCTAACTCGATTGTTCTAGCTCTCAACGAGAGCACCAAATGATAGAGTATATCTAGAGAGAGGTGAGAGCTAGAGAGAGAAGTGCAATAATATGCTTCAATAGAATGATTTGTAACCCCTATAACTACTCCCAAGAGGAGTATTTATAGAGAAAATACGGGCTGGGCTCCCAAGCCTTGGGCTTGGGAGGCCCATTTACAACTGGACTGCTACTGGGCCGAATACAAAGCCACTAATGGGCTGTACAAATGAGTAAGTGTAAAATCCGGTTCTGTGAGGTCTTCGTGGCCGACAATGGCGTGGCCGACGAGGGCACGACCGACGAGGGCGCGGCCGACGCGGGCACCCGGGTTCCTTGGATTCAGGACCATATTCTGAGTTGGTACCTTTCCTGGCCGACGGGGATCCCTTGGCCGACGAGGGCGCCACTCAGTGTCTTGTGCTTTCTGTTCTTCTGAGTATGTGGGTCCTGGGGCTCAGACCCATATACTCCATCAGTATGAAAAAGGTTCATAAATATATATATTATATGATATATGATATATAGTTGAGATGAATATATATTTGTTTTTTAATATGAAAACTTTAAATTACAAAAAAATAAAAGTTGTTAGTAATAACAATAAAAAACATATCACCACCATGCACAAGTTGCAAAATACATACATAAAAACATAATTGATCAATATAGCTAGATTAATGTAAACCATTAATGTGTAAATGCATTTACAAATTAAACTAATTAAATATAATATAAAAATTAATTTTCTAACACAAGAAAATCAAAAGACTATCAATGATATTATGATTAATGTTTAACGGTTAATAAATATATTTTTTGTTCTAATTAGTTCGATTTATTTGATTAGGTTGGGGTTTTACATCCGGTTTTTGGGTTTTTGTGGTTCAATTTAATTTGGTTATGGTCCAATTTATTTTGATTCAATTCTGAGACACCCTCTCATGAGTCATGATATAGTGATATACTTTCCTTGAAATTTTGTTGTTTTTGATGTTTTTAATCAATGAAGTCAAACTTTGATCAATTATACATTTTTTTGAGAAATTATTGTGATATGAAAGTAGTATAGAAATATTCTTTGTTGGAATTACTTTCACAAAAATATAAAATTTATAACTCATGAAGTTTTACCATTCAAAGTCATTATCTAATACGGAGTATTTACTATCATTGGATTGAAAAGTTTGTAAGATTTAAAATCACACGAGCGTGATCAAATATAAGCTGATTACGAGCCTATTTGGTAATACAAAAATCTGTTAAATCAGATGATGCTGCTGAAATTTATGAAGTTCTGACTGAAGTGACTGATTGGCTGATTCTGTTGATTTAATAAAAATAATATTTAAATTGTATTTTATTAATAAAATAAAGAAAAAAGTTATATGTAAAAATAGCTAAAAAGATCGTCTACAGCAACTTAAGTGAATACAACCAGAAAAGTAATTTCAACCTTACTTCTTATTATTACATAATTCAATGTGTGAAATCAAAAGTTGCGTGTTTGGTGAAAAGCTTGACTGATAAGCTTGATAAGTCAAAAAATTGAATTACCAAACGGCCTCTAAGTTTGATACAAGTCCACTACATCGTGTTCAATTTGATGCACAATTGCACATTAGTGTGTTACTTGTTAAAGTCACAAGTCATTATGCAAAAAATGTCATTTATAATGGCATACTAAATGTAAAATGTCATTTCTCTTGCAAAACTCTTAAAATTCTTATTACTATTTAAATGTATCTTTTTTCTGGTATCATTTTAAGATAATTATAACTTCAATACTCCCTATATTCCGTTAAGATTCAGATGGAATTGAAAAAGGGATGAGAAAGGATGGTCTTAAAACTGAAAAATGTTTGGGATGGAATTGATGAATGAGACTCCTAATTGAGCGTCTGAAATGTTGAGCGGTAGATCTTTGTTCCTCGATTGGGCGTCTGAAATGTTGAGCGGGAAAATGAAACTCCGAAAAAGTATTGCAATTATGTAGGATGATGTTATGGCAATCAATAAATATATCAAAATCTAACATTGAAAAAAGGTGAAATATTCCTACCTAGACGCATTTTAGTCATGTAAAGTTTTATATATGTGGCGTTATCAAGGGTTTGGAGTACTTTTTCAAAACTCTAACAATTAAGTTTAGTATTTCATTAACCATTACCAACCATACTAATGCATAGTATTTGCCTGACATGTACTTAGCCAAATATGTGGCTTGATTTGTGGGGATTTTATTTTAATTGCTCGAGGTCGGCGAGTGCACGGTCCTCAGCTTCCCTCTTTTGATTTGTGGGGATTTCGCTCGAGGCTGTCGAGTGCACGGTCCTTCGGTTGTCCCTCTTTTGATTTGTGGGGATTTCGCTCGAGGCCGACGAGTGCACGGTCCTTCGGCTTTCCCTCTTCTATTTCTTCTTCTTTACTTCTTTGTGCGAGGAATGGGGGGTCCTTTCAAGCTCGACCGAGGGGGTTGCTATTCCCTCGGCCGATAGGGAGTCCAGGAGGGCAGCTGTCCACAAAACCAAGGGCACACAACGTCATCTGGTCCAGGACCCCCATCATCCTCAAAGCCATTGTAATACTTGAGATTTAATTTAAACGGATTAATAGTACTACTCATACCAACAAAGTGCATTTCCTTTTAATGGAGCTCATTAGCCAAGAACTCCAAAGTTAAGTGTGCTTGCACATGAGTAGTCTTGGGATGGGTGACCCCTTGAGAAGTTTCTCAGGGCGCGCACGAGTGAGAACAAAGTGCGCGGAAAAGGTTAGTGGCGATTTGTGAGTACACTACTAGAGGTCTGGTGGGTGTGTAGGAGTAACTACCTCGGGTCCTGCGGGGCCGTGGTGTTACAAATGGTATCAGAGCAACCCTACGACCGTGTGCTGATCCGTTGGATATCGGGCGGGTACTTAGCAGGGGAAAAGATTCTGGGATATGATCGAGATTGGTTTATGGGCGCAACGAGGACGTTGCGTTCCTAAGTGAGGGTGATTGTAATAATTGAGATTTAATTTAAATGGATTAATAGTACTACTCATACCAACAAGGTGCATCTCCTTTTAAGAGAGCTCATTAGCCAAGAACTCCAAAGTTAAGCGTGCTTGCACGGTAGTAGTCTTAAGATGGATGACCCCCTGGGAAGTTTCTCAGGGCGCGCACGAGTGAGGACAAAGTGCGCGGAAAAGGCTAGTGGCGGTTTGTGAGGACAGTACTAGAGGTCAGAAGTAACTACCTCGGGGCCTACGGGGCCGAGGTGTTACAGCCATAGACACCAAACTACGAATGATTTCGCTTCGGTCGGGAGCGCCAAAAGCAATTGCGTTGCCTCCTCGACTAGAAGCAACGACAACCATCAACCACCAGATGGCACCACCTCGGCCTCGAAATGCAGGACATTCCCGACGGCTCAATTTTGGCACCGCCTCGACTAGAAGCCATAACTCCCAGGTTATCCTCCGAAGGCCAAAAACATCAAGACAAGAATCTACTCCCCTTCACTTCGTCTACATTTCAGCTCAGAGAGTGGGGGACTCCTCATATAGTATATGGGTCCAGACCCCATAATTATTAGACATGAATAATTATAAGGCGGAGGTATTTGTATCATTTTTGAAGCATTTTTAAACCGTCACTTTTTCTTATTACTTGTAGGTAATAAGGAATAATATGGGGTATTTGGATCTTATTCTTGCAAGTCTCAGTGTATGGGCGTAAGTGTTAACACACTTACAAAAAAACTTACAAACAGGTGATGTGGTTATTCTAATTACCATTGATGTAAAAGTGCTGTAAATGTGATGTGATATGTTAAATAATGTGATGATGCCACATACCCTTTTTGTAAGACTTTTTGTAAAAGTTTTTGTACCTCTAGCATAACCCATCCGTTTTAAAAATGCTAGAAGTACAAACACACTTACAAAAAACTTACAAACAAGTGATGTGACTATTCTAATTACCATTGATGTAAAAATGTTGTAAATGACTAAATGTGATGTGATGTGTTAAATAATGTGATGATGTCACATACCATTTTTGTAAGACTTTTTGTAAAAGTTTTTGTACCTCTAGCATAACTCATCCGTTTGAAAAATGGTAGAAGTACAAACACACTTACAAAAAAACTTACAAACAAGTGATGTGGTTATTCTAATTACCATTGATGTAAAAGTATTGTAAATGTGATGTGATGTGTTAAATAATGTGATGATGGCACATACCCTTTTTGTAAGACTTTTGTAAAAGTTTTTGTACCTCTAACATAACTCATACGTTTGAAAAATGCTAGAAGTACAAACACACTTACAAAAAAATTTACAAACAAGTGATGTGCATATTCTAATTACCATTGATGTAAAAGTGTTGTAAATGTGATGTGATGTGTTAAATAATGGTACCCGCACGGGTAGCTTAGTTGGTCGAGTGGTGGGAGATTTGGAACAATGGACCAAGGTTCGAATCCCCGCAGCGACCGAGTGGAGGTCACAGAACCTGAAATAAGGCTGAATCTCTGGTGCGCACGGGTGTATGGGTCTACTGCCATTCTGGTGACTGAGTCACCGTGACTAACATCCCCACCATTATATCGGGTCGGGGTGGGGGCTCATGGGGGGTGGGAGATTTCCATCTTTTGGAACAATGCATTAAATAATGTGTTAAAACTTTTTGTAAAAGTTTTTGTACTCTATCCGTTTGGATCAGTTTCAGAACTCTGCTTTTTGAAAAAGAAGCTGCGGATTCAAAGCCTTACAAACATTGGACTTCATTAGGGAGTGATCCAATTCGAAGAAGGCAATCAGTTGTTTGAACAAAGAAGAGGGAGTCTGGTTTATAATCCGAACCCATACCGAGGATCTACCGTCTACGAATCCGTGAAAGTTTAACATCAATGTGGAAATCTATCATTGAGGGAGATGAGGAGCAAGACGACCTTTTGGACAATCAAGAAGGCCTCTGCGCTATATCTCATCTTCAGGTACATATTCCCGTTTAACGTTTGAGCTTTGAGGTTCCCCACTTCATGCTCGAAGATTTAATCCGTAGTGGAAAATCCTCTATTTCATATTCAGAGTTTCAATCCTTACTGGTTACTGGAAAGCCACAAATGAGTTTCTCATTCTTCTCTTTGAATTTTGGTTGTGCAGAGAGTCTATGGGTTCGCTGCTTGTATGGTCGCTGGCATAGTTTGTATGTTCTTGGTAATTCCCCCATTATGTATTTGTGTTGTTGTTCTAAAAAGTAAAAAGTGAAACTGTGTTACACTAAGTAGGGAAATGCAAAAGGGAAACGTGCATCTGGAAATGGATATTTCTCCAAAATACTCTCTATACTTTGCTATATAGAGGTAATCAAAAGTTGCCATACTTAAAATATATGAATCAAATATTACTACGTAGCCAGACTTAAAATGCGATACATTTCAATCAACCTATGAGATGTCACAAATACTATTTTGCTTTATAAAAATCCAATTTAAAATCCCATTGCAAAAATCCTATATAATCCCGTTCATAGGAATTATTACATTATAAAGCCAAAACGAACACCCAATATTTATGAAACCTTAATTAGTCCATTAGGATATTTAAGCCAAAACGAAGACCCAATATTTATGTCTGTTCTATATGTGTTTTACAACCGTCAAAGTCCGGTCTGGTTTGTTCTTGGTTGATCTGATCCGGTCTAGTCTGTTTAAGTGTGGTCTAGTTTGGTCTGAGACTGAAACCAGCCCAATTAAAAGTATACTTAAACGGGTTTCCCATTTTTATAAAGGTTTTTCCCTGCAATATTTCAAAAATAATAATCATGGGAAAACTGTGACTACTTTTTAAAACTTTCAAATATTGACTATGCATGTCACTACATGTGATTTTACTATGCCACTGTCTCATATGTCAATGTCACAGTGGAAAATTCTGGAGACTTTTATCCCAAAAATTCAAGAAAAAAACCTACAGTGGATTCCGGTGATTTTTGGAAGTTTTTTCCCCGATGGCAGGTGGGAGCTGGGAGGGGAAGCAGTGGGGTTGATGTTGGAAAGAGAAAAATTGAATATAATTAGGATTTTGTAGTTATTCGGTCACTTTTAGAAAAAACTAGTCATGTTTTTGTGATCACAAGTTATACAAGTCATACTCATTATCATGATTATTTTAAAATTATGAAAATGGAACCTAAATGGGAGTTTCAGTGGCTTCTTATGTGTTAGATAAGGAACTGGTTCTTGCTTATCTTGTTTTTCTGTTTTCAGTTTAGAGAAAGAAATGCTCCTTGGTTTATAACCAAATTGAAAATTATTTGTTCTGATTGCTTATTGCATTTTATTCTCTTTTTCTTTTCAGTCGGTTATTGTTTTTGCAAAACCCATCAAGTTTGCCCTTTTGTTCACATTTGGCAATCTCTTGGCAGTTGGAAGGTAGGTTTTAACCTGTTTACCACAAAAGAAATCTAACTTGAGATTATCATATTTTCTGTAAAAGGAAGTAAGCATTCAAAGAGTAACCATTTGAAGTGCTGTTGGATGAATGTCCCATTCATGGTAGTCAAAATTGCCCTTACCAGCAAAATCACCTATTTTACAATGTATTATAGCCATAGCTATTCAGCTATTTCACATAGGGTGTTTTTGCTGTGACCAAGGTGGGGAGTTGATATGAAATGAGAGAGGATCTATATGGGAAACAGCAATTTCAATAGAATTAGCTGTTATTTTACTTAATTATACTTGATATGCAAATTGCAATAGCCGAATGCACTTCTAACCCGAAGTCTTTCTGTAGATTTACTTAAATCTTGGAACCTAATGAGTCAAAAAATATTACATTTGTTATTACAACTTTTTCTCGGATGTGCAACTGCCAAAAAATCAATCAGGTAATAGATATTGCCATTAAGTGCAGCTTTCAAGTAATGCTATTAAGAAATTTGGAGATACTAGATCCATCATCACTTGTAGATTTTACACATTAAATACTTTCATGAAATATTTTTGTTTGAGCGGTAGATTTTACACTCTCATTAGCTGGGTGCATCACTAGTAGAGTGTATTAGTATATTTCAATTAGTAATCAGCAGATGACATTTTAAAAATAGTAATTGAAGAGATATATATCTCTTCTGCAGATATCTTTGACCGTACTGACCTCTTCACCTGTCTCACCTCACTATGTCAATATAGATTCAAATTTCAAATGTAGATAGTATTAAGGTAATTGCCTTTCCAATGTTGTAGGAATTGCTAGGTCACTGTCACCTAGCGCTCTAGGTGTCCCTGCCTAGGCACCCAACCTCTGAAAAACAATTCCCTGTTGTATCAAATCAATCAATCAAGGTACTTAACTTCAAACTTGCAAAAAATAAAATCAACTCACTTTTCGGGATAGACTATGTGGTACCATGTTTAATTACTTTATGATAAGCTTTTTAACTTGCAACTTGATCTTTTCTAAAGATTAATACGGAGTAATACTTAGATAGGAACATAAGGGGCCATCTGCCACAAGCCAGACCCTAGGGTTATTAGTATACTTTAACAACATCTGGCAGGGCATATACAAGAAAGGAACAGTGGAAGACTATTAGGAATCAAACAGTACTCCTTGCGTCCCTTAAGTTAGTATAACATTTGACATCACAACCTTGAATGTTTTATAAGCTTTAATTCATGCAGTAGTGTACTTGCATGCAGATGTAAAATCAGCCTAACTCGCCTGTAAAAGGATTCTCAAAAGATAAGCTTTACTCATAATTATATGTTAGCTACTGATCTGGTAAGCATCAAAAGTGAGACACATAACTCTAGCCCTCACCCCCAAACCACAGGTGCGGAGGTGCCAAACAAACAAGTAAACAAACCTCAATCAAATTACCATGTTAAATTCATATGCGTCCACTTACTACTCTTTTTTGTTTCTTCTCATGCTCTGAATGTTCAATATCTAATGGCAGCACAGCCTTTCTGATTGGACCTGGGAATCAAATAAAAATGATGCTTGATCCTGCTCGTGTCTATGCAACAGCAGTTTATATAGGGTGTGTTGCCTTAGCCCTTATATGTGCACTTTGGGTAAGTATCACACAACACCAGCTTTAATGGTGAATAATTTGTGGCATATTTATTTCCGTTCTCTGGAAAATAAAGTAAACAAAAGTTACAACATTCAGCGGAGCACTGGAAAATGAAAATGATTTCATAAGAAACTAGTCATTTTTCCAAAAATCATTTTCAGGAAAATATTTTCCTCCTTTCAAAATGGATCCGTACATGATTAGGCACTGATGAAATTGCTAATGTGAGTCCGTTTAGGAAATTTTTCCTTAAATCTTTTATAACTTTTGAGCACATGAGTAGCTACTACTCCCTCCCTATTGATATCTTATAATAGTACTGCAAACAGATGGTTTTCACTTCATTCCTCTTTCTAGTTTTAGTGCACAATGTTTGTTTATGTAATGCTTTTCATTTTTACGGATTCTAAATCCATTTTCAGATCCACAGCAAAATTTTAACTATACTTGCAATCTTGTTTGAAGTCTGTGCACTTACCTGGTAAGTTGTCGATTTTATATTGTTTGTTTTTATTAATCCAATGATCAGGCTTCGCAGATGCCATGTGCCTCTTTGTTTTTATTAATCCAATTTAGTACTGAACAGTTTATCGAGATTTAGTGTTGAACTTTTTAGGTAAGAAGACCTTCCTAAAGGTGAACTAGGAAATTAGAATGCTGCCCAACCAAATGCTATACAACAACAACAACAACATCCAAGCCTTAGTCCCAAAAGATATTGGGGTCGGCTAACCAAATGCTATATGTTAAAAAAATGTGAACTTTATTATATACTCCGTAAGTATTACGGAGTATTATTTATAGTGTGAAATTAATTAATACTTGAAAGGTTTTAATAGCTTAACATTGAATGCTAACGAAATAATAACTATAATGAAAGAGCTACTAGTTTCAACTCTCACAAGTAGTGCAGCGGAAACTCGGTTGCTAGTTTCAACTTTCAACCCCAGGCCGAGGTTCGACTCCCATGAACCCCTAAAATTTTAATTTTGTCCGGTTCTTAGAGAAATTCACGGGTAAATCCGGGTTTAGCTCTATTTATGGGTTTGCATACAAACCGGATCGGGTTAGGTGCCGGGTTGCCGGTTTTTGGGCCGACCCGCCTGGTCCGGTCCGGTTCTGTTAACATAGCCGTAAGCAACATTTGATTAATATGAATAATTAATACGGAGTATAAGTTATAATGTTTGCATGAATATGCAAAAGAAATTGTGGAACTGGACCTAAGTTGGTACTATTCCTAAGGGGGGAACCGGAACGCGCCTGTCCACCGTTAGACCTTAGTGAGGATGTCCTGAGAATTAACTGTTTAGCAGTCCACCTAAAGCTGTATACTTCAACTGTTCTCTGTTCAGGCATCAACGAGCAATGATGTCTAAAAGTTAATCTTTTTGGCTCATTCAGGTACACTCTAAGTTATATCCCTTTTGCTCGAAGAATGGTTTCAAATATGACAATCCGTCTCTTTGACACAGAAATATAGATGCTTCTGACTGGAAGAATTGTATGGAAATATTTTCTAACATTAAATTGTTGTCTTTGATTTTTCTTTCGTTTTCCAACAATCTATTTCTCTATCATTATAGGTACAAGCCGTTTTGTTCTATAAAAACTGTGTACTTATTAATACTTGTGATAAACATCTTTAATGTATTTATCATTAATGTATAATTGCAAATACATATACTATTCATACATTAATACAATGTATTACTTTTTTATAAAAATTGACTGAACTGTCAGAGAACAGCCCAATGCAGCCCCGTTTGTGGTATGGGGTTCCCACACATAAGATTCTAATACACTTGGCCCACCCATTGACTGGGACAAGATAATACTGGATGATATTCAGACCAAGTTTACTTGTTGTTAGGGATGGACTCGGGCCGGGTAAACTGGTCTGTAACTGGTCCGGTACTGTTACGGCCCGGCCCGGCCTGGTACCCTGGTCTGTGCCCGGTTCGGGCCACCCGGCCCGGTACTGTTACGGGGCGGTTCCCGGGCCTCCAAAATAGTGAACTCGCCCGGCCGGGCCTTGTTCGGGCCATTTTTTTTTTGTTTTTCAAAATATTTGGGAGGTAAATGGGTTGGGCTGGATGTTTTGGTGGGGTGTGGGGGTAGGAAATAATTAGAAAAAAAAAATGGGTACCCGGCCTGGCCCGGTACCCACCGGGTGGCCCAGCCTGATCCGGGCTCGGTAGCTACCCGGGCCGGTTCCGGGCTTCAAGATTCCCAAAACAATCTTGGCCCGGGCCCGAGTCCATGCCTACTTGTTGTGCTCTCAAAATGAGTTTCGTGATGAATAATAAATTTCGATGTTTAGATCGTTTACAAGATAAATCACATTTGTTTTATGGGAGATTTCCCAAAATAGGAGTAAATGGAGTTTAAAATTCCAAAATATGACTATGTTTTTATTCCCGAAATAGGACTAACATGACATTATTTACTGTCATCTTGTAGGCGTGAAAGTCAAATAGTTGCAGTATAGTGCATTTAACATGACAATATTTATTATAATTAATGAGAGTATTTTTTAATTATGACAGTATTTTTCATACATGTCAGTAAAAACTCCTATTTCGGTAAGAAAAACATAGTAGTCCTATTTTGGAATTCCAAACTTCATTTACTCCTATTTAGTGTAATTTCCCTTGTTTTGAGGGGCGGCTTTGAGGGGAGTTGGGCCAGGCAACTGCCTTGGGCCTCAACTACCAAGGGGGCCTCCAAAAAATTCTACTCCAGTATTAGTATTAGGTGTTATTCGCAGACCGCCAATACACCAAGCGGCAACTGCAAGCAGAAATCAGCTTTATAGTTCACTTTTGACTATTCGTCCTTCATCAAAGTTGTAGCTAATGAAGTCTTCTATCCAACACAACTTGCAAAACTGGATTTGAATCATCCAATAAAAATATATGAATAAAATGGTGGAAGGTCGCATTCTGAAATCTCAAGAGAGATTGTCTAACTTCATCGTCTTTTTTCACCTTGCTTCTTTCATATTCTCACAATGGTGTCTTCATATGATTTGTAGCCCTTGAAGTTGGAGTTCATATGAAACTTGAATCATGTTTTTTGGATGTTCCTAAGAAACGATATGCTTGAACGATTGACAGAACGTTATCCTGACCGTTGTTTTCAAGCTCTATTCATCTTCTTTTGATCCCGTAGTCAATTCTAGAGCTCTTTTGTCTTCAAAACTTTGTCTTTCAACACCTCACTGATCTCCAATGCTCCTAATCAACATGGGTCCTTGGTTAGTGAATCAACTAAAACTCTTCAGCTCTTCTCTCTGAGTCTCGTTCTTGAAGTCTCTTAATACTTTTACAAGTACAAGTTTGCCGTGTGTTTTGAATAAGTTTGCATTTTAAAATTTATCCTTTTGAATATTACAAACATTATATCGTGGACTTTGAATATGTTTTTTTTCATAACGCAATTTTTATTCAATTTATCTGATTTTAAAAGTGATTTGTAAATATTTTTCATCTGAGGCCTCCAAAATGCTCAAGCCGCCTCTGCTTGTTTTATTTAGTTTTTATTATTATTATTATTATTGTTTCTTATATAATCATAGTATTTGACCTCGTATAATGTTTAGCCTTAAACATTAATGCCCAATTACAGTGTATTGCAACAATAAATGTTACTCCGTATATATTTGAGTCCAAGGAGACAAATTGTAGGACTAGTATCAAAAGTTGATCACGTAAGAAAGGACTCATCAAGTTGGGATCCCGAACTAATTAATACTCATATAACCCATTCCACCAAAATACGTAGTACATAATAATAAATCAATAATTGGTCTCTATAAATCATCAGGTTCGGTTTTGTTGCTAATGTGGTAATGTGGTTTATGTAACCGGTCCGATTAGATAATATCCCTTCAGCATAGGTCATTGATAAAATTTAAAAGATCCACCAAAGTATGAAAGTCGGGATTTTTCACACATTAAATGTCTGTTCGAAAGCACAGAAATGGACTCGTTTCGGTTCGTGGAGTTTTTTTGAAGTAAAAATTGCATTTCAGTCTCCCAAATAGTACTTATATTGAAATGTAGGTCCCGTGTAATCAAGTTTGTAAATGCCTCATGCCCACATCCCAATTGTCCGAATTGTAGTAAATGTGTTCCTTTGAGGGGTTACATTTACCATGTGGGCATGAGTCACATGGTAATATCGGAGTTGCTTGAGGGACTGGAAATGCGATTTCTCCTAAATATAAACAAAAAATGTTACACATTAAAAATAAAATGTAGATTTATTTGAAAAAAAATTAAATTGACTTATACATTTATAAATAACGGCAAAGGAGGTACTTGGAGAATCTAAAGGGTGTCTGTCACCTAAAAAGGACACGTCTTGATGGAATGATGAGGTGAAACAAGCCATAAGGAACAAAAGAAATTACTACAAAAAGTTGAGGACAAATTGGAGTGATGACTGATGAGAACATAGAAGCATACAAGGAGGCTAAAAGACAAACAAAAAAGTCGTAAGGGAAGCACGAGGGAAAGTGAACAAGGAGTTGTATGAAAAGTTGGACTCTAAGGAAGGAGAACTAGATATTTATAGACTTGATCGTCTTCGTGATCGCATGACTCAAGATATTGCAAAAATTAAGTGTGTGAAGGATGTCGATAAGAGGATATTAATGGACGGCAGAGAGATAAAAGAGAAGTGGAGGTCATACTTTGATACACTATTCAACGGGAACAAAACGCAAGATATCGGTGATTTGTCCATACCATATTGTATGGTAAATCGTGATTTTGTGAGAAGGATCCAAACAATGGAAGTTAAAGAAGCTCTGAGGAAGATGGGACGGAAGAAAGCAGTGGGTCCGGATGACATATCGATCGAGGCTTGGAGAAGTTTGGGAGAGAGAGGCGTCGAGTGGTTTACAAGATTCTTCAACATGATTTGGAGAAACAACAAGATGCTAATGAATTGGAGGAAGAGTACTCTTATCCCTTTATTTAAGAATAAAGGTGATGTACAAGAATGTGCCAACAATCGAGGGATTAAGCTTATGAGTCACACCATGAAACTTTTGGAGCGAGTGATTGAGCAAAAACTTCAAAGAACTGTGAAGATTTCAGAGAATCAATTCGGTTTTATGCCTAGTCGTTCAACAACTGAGGCCATTCACCTTCTTCGGTGACTTATGGAGAAGTATAGAGACACTCATAAAGATCTGCATTTGGTGTTCATTGACTTAGAAAAGACATATGATAGGGCAAACCACTTCTTCCTCACCGACTCGCCGTCTATTGTCCCTTTGGTCTTAGGCCCAGGTCTGCCAAATACCGCGGCCACTTCCGCGGAATTGGTCTTAGTGTGCCGGTTCTATTGTTCCGCCAAGAAGCCGCTCCCACTTGTGCCGTATGAAAGAGAAATTAATTCTCCTTGACTTTGTCGACGAAGAAGACAAAAGAAATAGGGATTAAGGGTAAATACGGAACAAACGGGAAAGTAAGTCTTATTTAGGAGTTAAAAAAGTCAAGGTCTTATTTAATTACATATGGAAACTTAAGCTCCTATTTAGCACCATTTCTCTAAACAAAAGAAACCACTTCAACAAATGAAAAGTACGTGACATATAGAGCGTGTTGGTAAGACTCAAATCAGCTATATTGGCCGATTCTGCTGAAATTTATGAAATTCTGGCTGAAGTGGCTGAATTAGCTGATTCTTCTGATTAATTAAAATTTTATATTTAAAATATATTATATTAATAAAATAAATAAAAAATCATGTGAAAAAACATATAAAATGATCAATCTACAATAACATCAGTAAATACATCCAGAAAAGTAATTTCAACCTTATATTTTCTTATTATTATTACACAATTCAGTGCGTAGAATCAAAAGTTACGTGTTTGATGAAAATGTTGATCGATAAACATGATAAACCAAAAAATGTGCTCATATTCGCCTCAATTAGAAGCGGACTTTCTCCATCTTCATTGTTCTTGAATTTAGGTAAACGTCCTTCAACGTATCCCTGAGGCCCCCAACCCTGATCGGACGATACGTTGGAAGGATGTAAGTTGGACTATAATCCCAATCTGACAGATAAAGAGTGAGATTCTGTCTCCGATACTTGCAGAGATCCTATGCATTTTTTAGCATAATAACCTCTCATCGCAATTACCGGGATTCAAACCCGAGATCTAACCCCTGTGGCACTCCTTCGCTACCAGTTTAGCTACGCTCATGGGTAGGTAAACGTCCTTTTTAATCTCATGATGACATATGCAGCAGCTTCGGGTCTCGACCTACCTCCTTAATTGCCCTCTCAATCAGCTCAAAGTACACATATCTTGTCTTGTTTTAACATTGTTTAGTTTACCTTATTTTTATTTTATTTTTATAATATTTTCATAATTCAACATATCTCATCAATTTTCATGAATGTTAGTAAATTTAATCGAATCAATCAATTTTCATATGATCAAACACACCCTAAAGCCCATTTTCGTTGGCACTAAAGAGACTTATATACTACATCCGTCTCAAAATGATGGTTCTGTATTTCCTTTTTGGGATGTCCCAAAATAATGGTCCTGTTTCTCTTTTTGGAAAGAAATATGTGGTCCATATCATTTCACTTTATTATACTCAAATCTCAACCATAACTTTTATCTTTTCAATTACTTTATTAAAACTTGTGCCCAAAAGAAA